ACGAAAAAAAAAAAAAAAAGAATAGGAAAGGATGTTTCGTTCTGCTTCGATTGATCGTTTCGCAGATAGATTGTTTAAATGACAGATAAGAGAAACGTAGTACACGATATTAAGCCAGGAAGATTTAAAAAAGATGGAATATTTCTGTTCGAAGATTGCGATAGTACGAAAAAGTTCTCAGCTGCTTCGAATGTTAATTTTCGGCCCCTTAAAACGGAGTAACCATAACGGAGTTTAATTTAATTTAATTTAATTTAACGGTACATCACGGTAACAGACCAAGCTTTTTAGAGATAACGTAAACGAAGCGCTGAACGTGATAAAGAAAATTATCTCCGTTTCTTGGTTTTCATTAGTTAAAGACAAATTTCAGATGGTTCAAACAGAGTAGTCGCTTCTTTTCGAATTAACTCACGGTGAAATTAAAATGAAAAAGAAAGAAATTAGAAATGCCTAGTTTGTTGACATATTCTTCGTTTGCGGTTACGAACGTCTTTTTGGCTTAATTAAGAAAAACAGCCCGCGACAAGAACAGCAGAACGAAGAGTCCTCCCGGTAACTGGTAACGTTTTAATTTCGGAAAGCTAATTTCTTGACATTCTCCTTTTCTTTTACTTTTAGTCCCAATTTCACTTTTACGTTTCAAACCAAGGCTCGAGGTTGTTTGCAACAGGCTCTGCCGTTTATTTATTTTCATTTTAAGAACCTTAGATGTAGAGCTATAGTATTATAAAAACATGCTGCTCGTCGATGTTGATTTGACGATTCCCTAACTGGTCAGCAAGCCAAGTGGTTCAATTTTGTTAATCCCTGCATCCTGTGTCAATATTGTTTTTCGGTTATGCTAAAGGTGTTCAGTTTAATCCTTTCTTTCGCCGCTTCCTGTCGGCCAAAACCCCGAGAAACTTGCAAAGGACTAACAAGCAAAGAATGAAAAGGTATAGGCTAACTGAATGAATCCTCTCGTTTGAGGTCCAGTTTGAGAAACTCTTTTTCGTATCAGAGGTTGTTTCAGTGAAATAGTGCTTCACTACAGACACTGTTTACATTTAGCAATTGCAAAAAATGTGGCAAGTAATTTGTAGTAAATGCAAAAAGTAATTAAAGCTCGGGGATAAAGTTTGTTTGTAAACAGTTCAGTTTTGAAAATTTGTTAGCACATTGATAACTCTTCCTGAGAATTCTGTATCAATGTAGATGTAAATTACTACATCATCTTTTTGCTTTGCGAATCATTAGCGAAGTATTTAATTCCTTAATTTAGAGCTGTTGATATTATTTTCGTTACCCATGTAAAATTTGAACAGAAAGAGCACGCCTGTTAGTACTTAACTTGATAATATAAGTAGTTTGGTGGTATAAAAAAAGTGTCCTGTTAATTCGTACGAAAAAGAAAGATCGGGGATTTTTGCGAATCACATTCATGATTGTTTTCAAAGTCGTCTCTTAAACGAGAGAGAAAATGTGTCCTACGTTTTCAGCATATTCAGTTGTGAAGAATTTCCCGACATTCGATCCTATTACAAATTACCTCGCCCTTAATAAGGTGTCATTAATCGATTCTATAAATCCAATGTTCTCGCGTACATATCCGATGAATCTCAACCGCAGGCTAATGAAATTTCGCTTCTAAGCGGATTAAATACTTGACCAAGGTTCTAAATTATCAAGCATTTAAGCCGGCCGTGTCGAGAAGAATCATATCGAGTGTGAAAATCCCCTCTAACTTCCTCAAGCAGCATGATTCATTTAAACAGGGAACATCGAAAATTTGAAGATTAAACCTCTCCTCTGATTTCTTCCGTTAACGAAGCACAGTCACCTAAACTGTTAAATCTCTACTCTACCAAGCTATCGACCAACCCTTTCCACAGTTTTTTCCACTCTGTCGAACAAATTCTTCACTCTGCAAATTTTCAATGTTCTCATCGAGTTGGCCTATACTAACGGTATAAATGAAACGTCGGAAATGTAACCACAATAGCTATACGTTTTCATGGTCCGGCGTTTTTCTTTCCGCTCACGTTCCTTACTTCCCCTGTTCCAAAACGTTAATCCAGTCGATGGAACACCGAGAAACGAGGAAAGAACGCGGAATCGGGCGTCGTGGGCAGCCAATCAACGGCTCGTTAATTACCAAGGAATCGAAAAGCGGTCACGTTGTCCTTTCTCGATCCTTTTTCCTTCCAATCAAACGGCCACGCATAGACAAAGAAAGATAGAGAAGTGGCGACCTCGTGATTTCGAAACGGTGTGTCGGTGTCTCGACGACGACGCCCGGAGCAACGCTTGCGACGTTCGTTTCCGTTCCGCGACCTCTCGTGCCGCGAATTCACGATCAATTAGCGGAACTTTGATCCACGCCGAAAGAGGTATTCCCGTCTTGTGGAGAATTAACGTTCCACCGGCACGACGAGTCGCGTGCACGCACGCACACACGTGTCGCCGTTCCGTTTGATCACGAAGCTGAAAGACGCGTCGCGACATAAACGCCGCCTTTCTGCATCGTGCCGACTGATTTACGCGCGATAGGTCGTAACTCTTCGACCGTTCAAAGCGAGAAAAATTGCTGTTCCAGATTGCAACAATCGTATCCTTCCACCTGTATCGTCCTAGTAACGATTTAAATAATAGAAATTGAATTCTGGAACGAAAAGGTTAAAATCACTTCGAAATGATAACGATCGGGATATTTAATGGTAATGAAAATAGAAGCATGTGCGGGGAGATAAAATTGCGTGGTTTAAGGGAGGTCGGAAAGGTCTATCCTACCAATGTTAAATTTGCCAACTTTATGCAGCACATGCTCCTCAGAAACAGATATGGATTACTTCTATCAAATTTTCTCCGCACGTTTTTTAGTCCTTCTAATGCATATTTGTATGTTAGAATTTAAAAATATTGCCTGGAACTAAAAATGCAAGTTTTCAAAAAATACTTACCGTTTTTTCAATTTTTGAATAAGAAAATGTTACTAATAATAAACGGAGCAAAATATAGTAAAGTATACATATAAATTCCTTTTTCTGCTCACAAGGAACATGTGGTTACAATTGATTTCAATACTTTTTGTGGTTTTTGAGAAAAAGGTATATAAACTGAAAGAGCACACTTTTATTTCTTTTCTCCATTAGTTTTTTCTACGTTTAAAAATTTTCGTTGAACGAGGCATTGCAATTTCCCTACTAAAATAAAGAAAATTTTCTTCTAAAGAAAGTTGAAAAATATGCAACAATTTGGAAGATGAAAAGGCATGCTCGTAATTTCTAGTCATATGCGAAAAATGTTACAAAGAATTACTGTTCGTTTGACTTTAATCAATACTATGCCACTGTAAACAGCAACTTACAGGGAATAACGTTTGTTTCTTCTTCAAAAGGTGATTTTTTTGCCTAAATACATTTCCGACCTTCTTAAGGGAAGAGGTAAAGTATAATCGAATATTTGAAATAATAGTTTATAATATGATGTTTCGTAGAACTCGATAAGAGATTTGTATGATAAAAGGTAGAATTGTATATTAACCCTTTGCACACCCTTTGCCGCCGTGGCGACATTGTAAGTGTAACTAACAGCTCCATTGTCGCTGCTGCGACGACATTGTAAGATATATTTTTAAGAAAAATTGAACGCCTACAAAGTGTCTTCCACAGAGGCGCACTCGCACCATTGTAAGTAATCTCGGAGTAGCTGGTAGCCCGTAGTAAAAATAATTCAGTGTTTCTGGTAGGTCATTAAAAATTGCGAGGAGTGCAAAGGGTTAATGATCTTGAGAAGGACGTGATTCCGTGGTAAGAATATTGTAAAAGTTGATTTCGATAGTAGTAATTCAAGTACAAGCTCAATTTTTTTTTTCTTTTCTTAACGAAGGCAGAATACATTAAGATTTAATAAAAAGAATCTTTAGCAAGATCGAGGAAGCGTTTTAAAAAATATTTGGAATACATCAACAACGCGTTTGAATTTCAACACTGACATGATTTATTGAAATGAAACATGAAATACTTATTAGAAGGAAAATTTTACAAGTGTATGATGAAAGTAGTGTAGCCAATTCCACTTCTTTTTTTTTTCACTCGTTTTCAACGAAATGCGGGAAACACGATCCTTCTCAATTGTACTAACTATGCACTCTGCATATCAGAGAAAATTAAATCAACTCTGTTCCAACGTTTCTCCTGGACTGAATAAGAGAAGAGATATGACCTGATCCGATCGCGTGAATCATCCTGCGTTGCGTTTATTAATTTTGATTCCGGATTTATTCGATAAATCCGGCCGAAATAGTGTCTTCGAAACACCGCCTCGTATCTCGGGGTATTTCATCGATTTTAATCAACTTTATTACGCCCACAAATATACCTCTAACTCACCGATCTCTTCTTCCCTTTTTTTCGTTACGTTTAAAAGGGAACGATTTGTCAATTTTTCTACAACGGCTTGAAGCTTTGTTTTTGCGGTTAAATACCTCTCCTTGCATCCCTCACAAGCAATTTTGTTTGTCACTTCCGCGGAGCGAAATATGCGAAGTAAATTGCGTTCGTTTCTCTTTGTAAACGATCTGTGAAATTCGACGCTTAAAAGGTAGCGAGTGACGAGAGTATGTATCGCTCTTTTAATTCACTTTCAGACAAAAGGCTGGCTTTACCGAGAAGAATTTCTCTATTTGCCCGTCAGAAAGCTGCCTCCTCTTACTTTACCGTTTAATCAAAAAGATTTAATTAACTTACGCTTATTTAACCATACGAACACTTTCGAATCCGTTTAATTAAATTAAATAGTTAAAGAAGAAGAAGACAAGAAATTATGAGAAAACTTCGCAAATTTCGCATGGATCGAAGCATCAAGATTCTCTATTCTTTTTTTTTTATTACATGTTCTATTAACCAATAATTTCGTTTCTTTCTACTTTTGTTTCACTCTTTATTAACGATCCCTCGTAGAATGAACATGTCGACGAATCGATTATCGATAAACAGAAATCTATTCTTTCGATCCAGGAAAAGAAGGACGGACCGGTGTACAAGTTTTATGAGACCATCCGAGATTACGGCGAGGAAATCATGAGCACCATAAGCCATTTGCGTGACGTCACGCTGTTTGCTCCAAGTAACGCGGCACTCGAGGAGTCTGGCGTGAAAAAAATCCTGCAGGACAAGGATCGCGTCAAGGAGATCCTGAATCTGCACTACGTCAAGGAGCGGCTGCCTCTCGATAAGATCAAGAACAAAAGCGTCAGCCAGGTGAGCCTATTTATTTCGTGAATTTTTCTGATTTACTCATTGCTGTACCGAATTGCTGATCAATCCTTGGCAAACAGTTTTCGATCAAGCACAGTAATACGAAATTAACTAAAAACATTCGTATTGTAGATCTATCAAATGTTATTACATATTCTCAAAACAGGTGAGACAGTAAGGCTGGCTGAGTATAAAGTAAACAATAACAAAATAACACAAACTTTTCTAAATGTTACGTGTTAAAGAGTATTTAGCCACTAGATGTCCCGGAAAGAACAAACTGATCAAATTTGTGAACTTAAACTCACGGAGAAATAATCTTTTTTGTTATTGTTTCCACGTATGCGTATAACTGTACAACGTATCAACGTTGTAGCATTAAAGTTTTCCACGTGACATTTTTGTTATTTTATTATTTAGTTTATATTAAGCTACCTTTTTTTTTTTACGTGGGGAAATCCTCATGAACACCCCGCCCCCCAGGGGTGGGCCCGGGATCTCTTACGAACACAACCGGACCCACCCCACGCCGGGCCCCTCCCTCGAGATGTTCGAGGAGGGTGGGGCTCATCCCGGAGGGGGTAAAATGGACCTCCTCTCAACTCCGAGGCGCCGCCGGGACCACGCCGGCGACGCCTCCACCGCGGGCCGCGTGCAATGGGCTGCCGAGTCCCCCCTCGACAGCCCTGCGGCCCTGGCCGCCGCGCAGAGACCCAGGGGGTGCCCCGCCCCCGTCAAGGAGGCGGGGCCCCCCCACGCGGGCGGCAACCAAACCGGAATCCGACGGGAGGAGCAAAGCCTCCTCCCCCGGGCCCGTGCACTCCGGTTCCTCGGGGTCGTGAACTCCCGTACCAAGACCGATGAAAAAAGTCAGTCGCAGCCCCTGAGGTCTATATTAAGCTACCTATACTTTCCCATCTGTTTTAAGAATATGTAACAACATTTTACAGATCTACAATACGAATGTTTTAAGTTAGTTTCGCATTACTGTGTTTGATCGAAAACTTTTCACCATGTCAGTACAAGCTTCAAATCGCTCCGAATATGTTAATTCATATGCAAAGTGGGACAATAAGAACTACTATCTGAAATAACTCGTTATTTTCTGAAATACAAAAAAAAAGTTTTGTATGAAATACATTGTATTGGATGGGACTCGTCGAATGGATTATGCATTTTAAGTATTTTATATCTTAAATTTTCGGAGATATCAAGGGGACCTTTAATTTTTTAAATGGAATTCTATATATTTTCTTATATGATATAAAGGCGACTGTTAAGACGAATGATACAAGATGAGAAATAAAAGAAATGGTTATATTTCGTAACATTGTATTTACTGCATAGAATTTCTTTTTGATAAAGTTAGATAGAAAAGCAAATTGATTTTCACGCACAAGGAGAGCGCAAGGCTTTCGGGTCACCGATGTATGTAGTTGAAACTTTGCATACTGGTAGATTTGGTCACTCTGTTTATGAAAATATAGCATTGCAGGGGCAGATACTCAATAGTTTTTCAGATATTTATAATTAAAGTTTCGTCATTAGGAAAGTTAGTTTTAGTTCAGAGATCTCATATCTAGCATCGTGGCGTGATGGTAACGTACCAAAGTCAGTGGTACTCTGTCCTGATATTCTTTTTGGTACTTCAATTCACTACATCGTTCATTTTTATGACACTCGTAATATACATACATGTGTACGATATCTGTCTTCTCTTCTGCTGATTGTAAGTAACGATATAATGCACCAGAAAATCGCTAAACACTTCATAACAGTCACTTTCATATCATATGTGTAGCATTCCAATTAAAAAGTTGAAGGTTACCTTGATATTTTAGAAAATTTAAGATATAAAAAAATTAAAATTCATCATTTTTTTATAAAATCAATAAACAACAAGTTATTTCATGTGACAGTTCTTATTGATTCACCCTGTGTACTGGAGAAGTTTAAAAATATTATACAAAACTCGCTTAAAAATGTAGAAATCTTGAAAGTTTCAAGAAGATCCAGTATTTCGAAAATTTTTGATAATTTTAGAAATTTGAACAGTGACGGTAGACACAACCTTTATGATATAAGTACTTAATTGAAAGCTGTTTGCGTTTAAGTTTTCAATAATTCTGGAAATCTGAAAATCTGGAAGTTCATGAGTTTTGAAAATGCACCACGGGTTGAAGATATAATTCAATTAATTCAAAGTATTCTGATAGCTCTGCCGATGTTTGTTACAGTACTTTCATAATAGCAAAAACCATTAAAAATGCTACAATTTACACTATTATAAAATATACCTACTACCGTTAAACTAACGGATGATTATTTAAAATTTTATCTCTAATAATGACCCTAACAATCCTTCAAATACGACAAAAAGTTCTACTAACTTTAAATACCGTCATAATCTCCATGATGGTCTTCAAGAATACTACCAGTGCCTTAGATCTCCGTAATTCAGGAGATCCTAATTGTCCTGAACCTCCTAAGGGTCCTTTAAATCATAAACGTCTCTATATTCAAGTTGAGGAAGCCTGCCAATGCCAAGCATACGAATAAATTTCAAAGTCCTTCGTGGCGTAAGAACATTAAGGCCCTTTAAACACTGTCAAAAGTCGCATGAACGAAGAAATTATCATAACTCGACGGTCATTTGAGAATCAATGAAAATAATACATTTTTAAACGAATAAATCTTAATATGCTCGAACTTTCAAGATTTCTATATGACTTACATTGCTCAAGTGTATGTAATTCTTTTTAATTTCTTCAGTTAAAATTAGGAGTGAATCGAAGCTTCACGCAATTCTATTGCGACCACTTATGAAAGAGAATACCAAAAGCCTGTTATTATTCACTTTTACCCTGTAGTACAAATGGTAACAAAAATATCGCCGTTTCACATGGGAACTAATTACCGGCACACGTGTTCTAACAGTTGATTAACTCAGTGTTTCTCTGTTTTCTGTTTTCGTACGAAAAAAATCTTCGACCGGGAAGCTACACTTTGGGGTAATTACACATTTATACAGCTTTCAGTGTTTCTGTTCGACTGTTCGTGAATTTTTTCTGCATCTTTCTCTCCGCATTCGCCTGATTATTTCGCAATGTTAATCCCAACTTAATAGCTCATTCTAACAATTTACTGTTTGTGTAATTATAACCATGCGTGTACATCAGTTGCCCATCAACAAAAGCATTCCTCATTCCGACAGAAATTTCTTTTCGTAACATATCATGTGATTCTGTTTACAAGTTATCTCGAAAAGATGCAGGTTTTATTCATGCATTTTCGTTTTCGTGCTTGCTTCTCTGCTGGCGCTACTCGTTTGCATTTTCGCAGCTGACTATTCTTATTTCAAACTGAATTGATTATTCGAGGTCACTGACATTGCTTCATTTTATTTCTCGTTTATTTCCAGCTGTCGCACTTTCAAAGATGGTAAAAATATGTAAACAATTACCCTGCGGTATTGGTATCTGTACATTATTTTATTTATAGTCAGTGGAGAGACCTCGAATAACCAATTCATTTTCTGTGTGGAACAGACGTTGACTAGTTTGTAAAATATTTGAAACTTGTAATATATTTTTCTTTACATATATTATCATCAAAAGACCAATTTTATCATTAACAGACCGATACAATCGTCTCTATAGAATCACAGTTTAGTATTTCTATTTATATGTATACGCATTGCTATGCAGTAAATTCTCCACAAGTGTCAGTCCGCAAGGAATCTAAACCTGACACTTGTAGAGTC